ACCTTCGAATCTGTTCACCCAACACTTCCACTCGAAATGGAAGTAATCCCAACAGTTGTGATGCTTTCCAGCCTCGGATCATACACATTCATCCGGCATCCAAATCAGCATCTTCACCGAGCCATACTTAGTCAAAGAGGACAAGTGACTTCCATCCCGCGACGAACTTTGCGGCGAAGGGTCGCGAAGGTGTCTTTCCGCTTGTCCTGCACCATTTTTATACTTTGCATACCCTTCCTTCTGACTCGTTCTCTACCAAAACCGCCATCTTTATTATGAGCAACTCCAGTTAGAAGGTGTGATAGAGAGGAGATGCGATCGGCGAATGCAGCATGACGATGCCGATTGGGATGCTGGTTGAAGGCACGGGCATGGGTACATTTTTTCGAAGTCGACAAAGTGTAATGGTGTAGGCATAAAAATGAAAAATAAATGAAGTAGTCGATTGCCATAGCAAATACATCTTTTACTTCAGCTATAATCCCACCACAGAATGTGATACCGGGACCTTGGTAGAAAATCACACCTGCCCCATGACCCGAGGACACTCGTGGCAGTCTGGCCTAGTGGTTGACGTGTCGAGATTGGACGATGCCACATCGTGGTTCGAGTCCGGATGAGGGTGTTTGTGAGACCCCCCAGACGTAGTAGATAGGCTATGTGAAATGCCATGCAAACGTAAGGCCTACTCATATGATTGTGGGAAAATGCAACCCAAATGTGGTGAATAAACGTGATCTAATTGTGCATCGTCGGCGTGTGATAGGAAGACGCAAGTGGAGGGAAATGCCAAAATGAGGCCTACTTCATCGTGTGTGGACGCGGACCAGAAGCAGTTGTGCTCGAGACTGAGAAACGTGCGTTTGCCGAATCCATCGCCCCAGGCCCCCTGTCGTCTCTCGGTGTCTGGACCACGTCCTGACAACCTATTCTCCAGTCAATATATACAACCGAGCCAGGCCAGCAAGAGAAAGCTATGTTGGCACTTAAGTCCAACACCCTCAATAATCGTCTCGTGATGTGTGTGTGTGTGTGTGTGTGTGTGTGGGTGGGTGGGGAATGATCAGGTGGACAAGTTGGGCTGATCGGCAGAAGATGGTTTGACAGAACGCGGCGAAAAGTCGTCTCAACGGTCACTGGGCCCTGGTCTTCGGTTGTTGGCGGCTGGAGGTACAGACGACAATGTTTGGTCTCTCAGACTCATGACACGAGGCGCTAACCCCACCAAGATGTGAAACACAATGCCTGGTTCGAGGCTGTTAGGCGACCTGTCCGTTGGTCCGACCCTTGCCGCCGTTGCTACCGGCCCCACAGTCGGAGGGCGGCATCGCTAGGCCTCCTACAGTTTGCGTGCATGCACATCTGTCCGTCTGTCCTCAGCCCTGTGCGTCGGCGTGTACGTGTGTCCGCTTGACTCGGTGTGTTTACGCAAGTGATGCTTGTGATCCGGTCCTATTCGGGTCCAATCAATGCGGGAGGAGTAGAGGAGAGTGCCGGTTGCACGAGTCGTCAGTCTGCCAGGCACTGGGAGTCAATCAGGCAGTGGTAGACGAGAGAAGTGTGAACAGCTCGACACCCCGGCAGGTTTCGGTTTGTGCACATGCATCTGGAAAGAGGCGACTTACTTGTGTGGGAATACTTTGCAGCACCTCCGGCTTTCTGTCTTCATGCGTCACAGGGGCTCATGCGATATCCTTTGCTCCTCATACCAAAATACCTAACCCGTTTTCTCTCTCTCTCTCTCACACACATACACACACACACACACAAAGCGTTACCAGGGTAACGGCTGAACGAGAAGCGGCAGTCTCGCAAGACTCTTCTGACACTTTGATCACATGGGCCATGGATCTTGAGATCGCCAGTTTATGTGCTGGATGCAATAGATGTGAACACACACTATTTCTATGCGTAGTATCTACATTGTGTCGGCAACAAAGCTTTTGCTTAGACCCTATCAAGCGAGTGACGTTTGTCGAGGTATTTCAAATGGCATTCCAACAATCTGTTTTTGGCAGCAAAACCAAATATGTGACTGACCATCAGCGGTACCACCAACTGGTGAAATGATTAGCTCAGCAAGTGTTAGCGTAAACGCACAATAGAAAATTGTCCACAAAGCGAAGCGGGTTGAGAGTAGTCCGCTCTGCAAGGGTGCAGCCGGGGTAGGTTGACCTGAGAGAGATGGGTAGGGTTGACCCTGTAAGCGTACATTCACGATTCGACATCCGTTTGGGGTGGTGATGAGACGATGGCGATAGCGGAAAATATACGAAGAAAAGTTGGGTTTCGAGGAATCTCTTGTTTCATAACTGTTGAGCCTACTTCCATTTCGAGTGGAAGTGTTGCGTGAAAAGATTCAAAGGTCGGTTCCACCAAAAGACGACGGCGAATTCCGCTTGACCAGCTGTCGATTGGCTTTACTGGAGCATTCATGCTGACGCTGTTTCCGAGGCAATCTCGTTCGATTCCGGCGAAAAGGTGCTAAGCTTTCGTCCGTCATATGACGGGCATCGTCAGAGCGAGATAACATCGTCACAACCAAATTCAAGCTAACGAGTCAAGAAAACTCACCGGCTAATAATTACATGTCAAGAATGGAGGAACACTTCATGGAAGAGGTAAGATTGACACCCAAACTTTTAGTTAAATATGTGGATGACTACTTTGCTATTTGGCAGCATGGCAAGGATAGTTTAGATGGGTAGGGTTGACCCTGTAAGCGTACATTCACGATTCGACATCCGTTTGGGGTGGAGATGAGACGATGGCGATAGCGGAAAAAGCGGAGCAGACTGAATCGAGAAATCCGGCTCAAATTTGTGGAGAAAAGAAGGCGGCTGCGGAAAAATAGAAAATGGCCACAGCAAATGGGGCGGAGACAAAAGATGAGACTGTTGAGTTTACTTGCATTTCGAGTGGAAGTGTTGCGTGAAGAGATTCGAAGCTCGGTTCCACCACAAGACGACGACCAGCTGTAGATTGGCTTTACTGGAACATTCATGCTGACGCTGTTTCCGAGGTACATTCTCAGACGTTTCGCCGGCAGCATAGTCGGCATTGTCAGTCCGTCTTGCCAATCTTAGCAACGCACTACAAATCGTCAAAGAGACAAGTGAAGTCGATCCTTTGGCCAATTGTCTGCTGAACAGTTGTGGTGTCTCTCCTTGCTTGGGGTCTTCACCCATCCCATATCCTCGTTTCACACCTTCACTATCACACTTTTTACTTGCTCATTTAAATGTGCTTTTGGTGTGCCTTTTTGAGCGGATTTCATGTGACCTATTCACACCAACGCAGGCTTCCTCTGCCTCCACCCCCCCCTTTTCTGCTGGGAATGTTTCTGATTAATGTGAAGACTTTCATTCCGTATGGAAGTACATAATGAAGACACTCAAACTTCATTGTTGAGCTTACTTCCATTTCGAGTGAAAGTGTTGCGTGAAGAGATTCGAAGGTCGGTTCCACCAAAAGACGACGACAGATTCTTGACCAACTGTCGATTGGCGTTACTGGAAGATTCATGTTGACGCTGTTTCCGAGGCAATCTCTTTCGATTCCGATGAAAAGGTGCTAAGTTTTCGTGTCCGGTGTCATATGATGGACATCATCAGAGTGAAGCAGCATCTTCACAACAAAATTGAAGCTAACGAGTCAAGAAAACTCACCGGCAAATCCCCAAAAAGTGGTATATATTCACTACATCTGGCCTCTTTGATCAAATCACTTAATACTTGATCAAAGAGGCCAGATGTAGAGTATATATACCACTTTTTAAGGATTTGACGGTGAG